TAAGAGGAAGGAAATACGTATCGACACTGTAGGTTTGCATGGAAACGGCAATCCTAGTAGAAGCCAAGACTGGACAAGTACATGCGACTCACGTCATTGAGTCATGAAAGCCCACTTGGTCCGTCTTCTGCAGACTTGGGTGCATGTATGAATCGCAGTCGAAAACAAGACACTGCACGTTGGACTTGACACTGCCACACAGACTCATCTCCCTTCCTGTCCGGCACATCCAACCCCACATTCTACTTTGCTAACCCCTAAATAGGAAAAAAAAAGTACCACTCCCCTACACCCACACTACTACAATACCCCCTAGCCTAAACGCAAAGGAAGTAGGAAAAAAAGAGGTATAACTCGGCCCGAGCCAACCGCAAAAAGCACACCCCCAACCCTAGCGTATCCGTCCCACCCCCACCTCACCTCCCGCGAAAAATCCCCCTAGTACTCCACCAAAACATACCTCTAGTCCACCCCATCACCTCGCCCATATAGTCAAAAAAAACATTCAAACTACGCAATTCCGCCCCCCCCCCCCCTTGCATCCCTGACATTTCTCGCTCGTCCCTGTAGGTATATGCACGCATCTCCTTCCTCCCTCTTGCGCTTCTCTCTCCCGCTCCATGCAGCCCTAACACGCATGTGGTATGTACGTCGAATTGGGGGGGGGAGACGGGGAGTTTTGTCCCCCCTGGCCTAACTAACTAACTAATCCGTCATCTTAACTAGTACGTTAAAGAGGTAGTAAAACAGCGGCGCGATTATTTGTCTGTCGGTAAGTATAGTATATCATCTCTCTTATTTGGATACTACTACTGCGATGGAGGAAAATGTCGGAAGAAAAGGGGGGGGAATCTAGATGCGTGTGAGTGACCATCTCTCGAGCATTTTCGTAGTATGTCATGTCTCGGGCGGAATGTCGGCGGCGGTGCAAGCGAGGGGCGATCTTTTTTGGGGCTGAAAAGGAGAGGGTTTGCGTGCATGATGCACTGTAGATTTGCTTTTTTTCCCTAGAAAAGGGGGGGCGGAGATAAGGGGTTGTGTGTGTGTGGCCGCGTGCAGGTCTGGAGGCCAGTGGCGTTGTTCCTTTTTTTCGTTATTTGCTTTTTTTGTTGCTTGTTTGGGGGAGGGTTGAAGTCGGCTTTAGGGGAGTGGTGGCATGCAGAGGAGCTGGGTTTGAGGGGGTGGGATGAGTGTGGAGTGTGGAGGCATGGGGTGCAGGAGGCCTGGGGCTAAGGGATAAGGGGTGGATAGGTTTGATTTTCTTTTTCTTTTGAAGATATGGGGTGGCTTGTCTGGGGTTGTGTGGGATGCTTAGTTGGACTGTCGGGGATGATGATGATGGCTGGTGGTGTGTTAGGAAGTCGACGTGCGTACGGCTTGACTCGGTTTTTGTCGGGTAGGAGGGATGACACTTGTGATTTGGATAGAATGCGCGATAAGGGGGGTTTAAGACGGCCTTGTCTCATGGCCCTCGAGTCCTACAAGTTTTCCTGAGTAAGGTCAGCCTGTATCAACTGTCATGATCCTTTGACACTCACCATAAACACTTCATCTTAGGAACAAAGTCCATACATAGTTTGAAACAACGCATCTGCAAGAAGTGATAGAAGTTTCAATACTTGATTGAAAATATTTACAAAAAGCTACTGCTCCAGAAAGTATTTCATAAACATGCCTTAGAGCCCATCCAATGCTCTATGCCATTGCCATCTCTCGCTCGCTCATCTCCACATAATTGCCATTGCAAGCCTCATCAAGGATATCCTCGACACAGTTGCCAGCAGCTTAGTTACCAGACTGCTGGGCGAAACCCAGCCTGGGGCCGTTGCTGCCCATCTCGTGGATGACGTACTTGCTCTTGAGGAAGACATCACCGAAGATGTTGAGACCAAGGTCAGATCCCGACTGGAGACCACCGAAGCAAGTGCCGTCGCCGTTGGGAGCAAAGTTGATGTACTTTCCAGGAATGGTCTGCTTGACGCCACCGACAACGATGGAGAAGTCGGGCAGGGTGCTGGAGCAGGGGAAGACGTAACCTCCCTGCTGGGAGTCGACCTGTGCGCCACGGACCTGTCCATAGTAGGCGCTAAGGATGGAGTCATCGACGTAGACAAGGCTGGTGCCGGTGTCGGCAATAGCATCAATGCTTGCCGAAGTGGTCTTTGTGCCAACGGCATAGCCAGTGGCGGAAAAGCCCCAGAAGCCTTGGCTGTTGTCGACGTTGACATAGGTGATGGCACCGGTGTACTTGCTGGAGTCGATGAAACCAAAGTCGTAGGAGCCAGCAGCGTGGTACTTGAGGTTGACAGAGAACAGCGGCTTGGCGAGCTGAGACTTGACAGTGTCGAAGAAAGTGGTCTGTTGGACAGGCTTGACAGTGTTGATGGAGCTCATGGCGAGGCCCAAAAGACCATCAGTGTTGGCATCGCTGGAGAAGGAGGCCGAAACTGATTGGGCAGCCTCAACAGCTTGGGAAGTTGCAGTGATGGGACCAACAGTGACTGAAATAAAGTTAGCGTGAGTCCTGATGAGCACAAGAGTCTTTTGATGATGATATTGATCACTTACCCTTGTCGGCGTACACTTTGCCAGAGGCACCAGATCCGTCTCCATAGGAGATCTTCCAGGTGTAGCCACTCTTGACCTTGGATGGGTCCACGGTGTAGTAGGTACGACCGCTGAGCTGCGATTGGGGCTGGAGCGAAGAGTATACCCAGCTTCAGAGGTGTTAGTCTAAGCTCATGATGAGATTGCTGAAGCAATATGCAAAACTTACAGATCGGAGCTTCCAGTGTCAAAGTCCAAGTGGAAGGTCTTTGTGCCAATGGTGACTGGGCTCAAGTACGATGCATCGTACTGGTCGTTAGGGGAGGCAGTGACGGAGCCGCTGCTTGAGGTAGCCTCAACCACGACCGTGTTTGCACGGTTCTCAGCTGCCTTGAGAAGGCTCTCAGGAACAGGCTTGCCGTACTTGCGCAGAGCCTTGACCTTGTCTGCGGGACCGTTCTTCAGGTGGGTAGAGTGGGGGACCTGGTTGATAGAAAAGGTGCCGCGTTTGTCTATATCAATTCCAAGGTCAGTCAAGATTCAAGGGTGGTTCCCTTGTTTCGACGTACCGAGCTGGATGGGGTTTGCGGCAACGCTGCCGGCAAGGGCGAGCGCGGCTGTGAGGTTGACAATGGATGGCATAGTGGCAATGGATCGTGGAGACTCTTGAAGGCAAGCGAAAGAATGGCAGTGGAGCTGTGATGGATACAAGACATAGAGGTTGGACTTGGCTTTATACCAAGCATTGCCATGAGCATGGTGATGTGGGATCCACTTTCCTTGACGATGATGTGCTCCGTACCCTGTCGATACATCGTTTGTAGAGGGCGCTATGTTAGCGTGGGCTGTGACATCTCAGGGTGTTTAGTGGAGTATCAGTTGGTCACAGAATTCACTACTGCAGCCATTCATGGCAAACAACCCGATTGGGACGAGCCGCGAATGCCTTTTGTTTATTGGGCTCGTGTTTCAAGCGGTTACCTGCTCAATCAGACCTGGCGTGGATCATACTAGTGGGATCCGAGTGGGCGAGTGGGCGCATAGATGGACATGATGCTTCTCTGCAATCAACAGACAAAGAGGAAGGTGGCGAAATAAGGCCTATCTTGTGTAACTATAGGGCCGAGTGGGTGTATGGTGTAGTATTGGTCAAAAGCCGGATTAGTGGTCTACAACGGTGTGCGCTAACCGCCTCGGACGCATAGACTGTGATTTCCTTGATGTAGGGCTTGTACACAATAGGAAGGCTGGATCGACTGAACTGTTGGTAGCGTAGGTGGATGCCGCGATACTAAGAGTGGCGTTGGGGATTAAGTGCCAGGAGGAGCGAGTAGGATGCACCAGTCAAAGCATCAAGATACTGCCAAGCCTTGCCATTTCACTCTTAGCAGCGTTAAGCTCAAGCCAAGGCAGCCACAGCTGTGAAACGAAACAAGGCGAAACCCGGGGGATGGGCAGAGTACTGTTATCTTAACAGTTGCAAAGGTGCTATATGGCAATTGTGCGATGTACATGGAGTGGGCGATGCTGCATGATCACATGCCGTCCACAGACCCATAGACGACTGTCGTGCTACCCACATACTACTACGATGCGGCATGACAACGGTGTCTGCGAGGTTGGTTCCATGGAACTAGGTGTACTTCCGGCCGCCATCGAAGATAGCGATCGGCAACTCGTGATGCCAAATGAAAACCATCCGTGGTGGATACCCAAGGCATGAAATCAGAGACTTTCGGCAGTGGCTGGATTGGGTAGGTGGCGAAGTAGTCTGGCTATAGACAAGGGCGTCGAGACAGTTGACGCGCAGACTAGAGGATATTCGTGTATGTTGGACAGGCCTGCAATGTCTCAACGAGGGCCCGGGCATGATGCGAATTTCGTTGTTGGCCAGTTAGCCAGTGTTTCTGGCGGGTGCGGCCTTTAACCTTCCTGTTTGGGCGACAGGCCGACAGATGAAGCGTCATATGCCCCTGCACACGTGCACCACGCCTATGGAGGGTACCAAGCCTTGTGATGCTCCTCTTGGACAACGCTTATCACTCTCTTGCAGCCTCGGCGCTGCCGAACAGCCAGGCTTGCATGACGTTTTGCCGCAACCCACCGATAACACGTCCTGGACTCTGTCCATGTACTGTGTAGACATGTCTTCAGCTGTCAAAAAAAAAGTCCTACACCACACCACCTGCCGCTTTGGCATACGCCCCGGAGAATTAAACTCCCAAGGGCCGATTATCTCCCGCAGATTTTTGCCCGCTAACTACCACACTCTTCCCTATCCTCCTCCTAATTACCTAGGCCAAGCTGCTATAGGAAGCTTGGTATTCACGCCTCATTTCATGGCACTCGCCTGCTTCGGACTTGAATGCCAATCGGGTATCATTCACAGCAACCGTCCTCTTCACGCCTTTTCTCTAATCAACTAACAGTAACTCACATGCACTACACCTCAACTATCCGCTTCCTGTCTGCCCGCTAACAGCACTCTCTAGCTGCTTGAGTGCTGCCCGGTACGTCTGCTTCTTCCCATCAGCCGTCACTGCACTCTCCTTCCATTCCATACGCCTAACCTTGTTGTTTCCGCGTTTGATGCTGTCGCCCTTGGCTATCTGCTTCAAGAACCACGCCGCCTCCGTCTTGCTAAACAACGTCCACGCCTGTCCTGCCTTTCCAGCTCGCGCCGTCCTGCCCACGCGGTGCACATAGCTGGTGATGCTTGTCGGCAGGTCGTAGTTGATCACGTGTGTAATGTCAGGAATATCCAACCCTCGAGACGCAGCATCCGACGCAATCAAAATCTTGATAGCCCCAGAACTGAACGACTTGAGCAATTTGCGCGACGCATCTGCTGTCAATGCCCTAGTCATGGTCTTGAGATGGTTCTTGAATCCAGGCATAAGTGCACTCAACAAATGCGACAGGCGGGATGCGCTCTCTGTACTTTTAGTGAAGATGAGAACGCGGCCTGTTTGCTGCGACATTGATGCTTTGCTGACTTGACCTGCGTCAGAATCATCATCTGACGAGGAGTCGGACGAAGAATCCGACGAGTCTGAATCCGATGACGACTCGGCCTCTTCATACTTTTCTGTGAAAACAAAGTTGAGCAGCACGTGCAACAGGTGCAACGGCTTGTTCGCGCCATCGCCAACGTGCACGGCAAACTCTTCCAGCCTCGATGGTAGCTCGAAAACATTGTCTTCAGTCTCCATTGGCTGCAGCTCCATGCTCGCATCCTGCACAACAACCAGCTTCGGTCGCTTCAGCTTCAATGTGCCGAGTTTGCTGACGTCCTTTTCCATTGTTGCCGAAAGCACAATTTTAGTAACTTGTCTTTGGGGCAACGCCACCGACCAGGCAGAGTTTGCATCCCGTAGTTGCTTGGCCATTCGTTCTCGAGCATTCGTAAACTCGTACGGAGTTTCACCGTGAATCGCATCCATCAGCACGCTCGCCCAGCCCTGGAAGTTTTGGTTAAGTAGCTGGTCTGCTTCATCAATGACGAGCCATCGAAGATTGTTGAGCAGAAAGCCCGTTGTATGCTCAATGTGCTCTACAAGTCGGCCTGGCGTACATATGAGAATGTCCACGCCCGAATCATACTTTGGGACGTGTCCGAGAGGCATATTCTTCAGGTCCTCGTATAGTCCTCCTCTTTCCATCAGGCCCATTTGGTGCTGCTGTGACGCTTTCTCGTTGAGCTCTTGTGCTCGTTTTGGGTCGTATTGCGCCCTCATCTTGACAAGCTGCTTTTTTTCTGTGGCGAATGCGACATTGCCCAATGCTGTTCCAAGTTTGATCTTTGTGCCAGTACATAGTTCTTCGGCGACTTGAAGAGCCTGGTTGACAAGTTGTCGGCTTGGTACAACTATAATTGCCGAAAGTATGGGGACAGCACGATCCTTGAGCGCCTCGATAATTGGCAGCAGATATGCTAGCGTCTTTCCAGATCCCGTCTTCGCAGAGACACATATGTCGCCAAGGTGCTGGTCAAAGCCAGGGTGTAGCATAGGTAGTAGTGCCGTTTGCACAGCCAAAGCGTCCTTGAACCCTTGTTTCTCCAGTTTCTTCACGTATGTAGCGCCGACACCAAGCTCGGAAAATGGCACCGTCTTAGATGCCTCGATGGTTGTGGGCTGAGCGAGCCATGTGGGAAGGGTAGAAAAGGTCGGTTCGTATGCTGGCTCGGGAACGGGTGCTGGCTGTGGCATGGGCTCTAGATCGTGAAGCTCTTCCTCCTCTTCCTCCTTGTCAGTTACCTCGTCTTCATGCTGTTGGCTCTTCGCCTCGGCTAGTTTGGAGGATTTTTCGAATTTGGAAAGTATGCTCTTGTGCTTCTTTGCGACCTCGTCACTCTCGTCGTTTGCTTCTTCAGTTTCGCGCTTTCTCCTCTTTGGTTTCTTGATAGATCTTGGGACTACATCGCCTTCTACAGGTGTGGTCACAAACGCGACGACGGGCTCATTTGTGGTATGCGCAGGATTCGAGGTTTCGCTGTGTACTGGGGTGGGTGAGGACTGTTTTTTGGGCGCAGGCGCAGGCGGCGCAAACCGCTTGAATAGAGGGCCAGCCATCGCGTGTGATATCCAATGCGATCCCTGTGTAGAAACTACTCAAGCAGTAGTATGAAAAGATTCGTGGCGCTTTACAACTGTTGCAGTAAAAGAAGTCGTGCACTAGGAATTCCGGGCCCTAGAAATTTGGTCGGAGCTTGGAGAGCCAAACGCCGACCAGTGACGCGCCTCGGATTGTACATCCACGCATGCACATGCGACAAAGGCACCGCTCGTCGCCCTCACCCACCAATGCTTCGATGAGCTGTCATGTGTCCTCTTCTTGAGCAGAGTCGAGGAAACTATCCTCCCGCACCGCCATCATGCCGTACAACATCGCGTTCGTACTCAATGCCCCTCGTGCCATGCACCCAAACTAACACGCTGCAGTATGGTCAGCGACAACTTCTACCCCCAGCCCGGTATGAACCATACCAACAGGCAATGAACTTTCTTCTCATATCCTACAGGAGGAGTAGAGAGTCATATGTACCAGTTATCAAGCGTGAGCACCCTCGAAGCCGCTAGCCCGTGACTTGTCCTCATCAGCCCAGAAACTCATCGACCGTGGACACAAAGTCATTGTCATCACCCATGCCTACGCCGGCCGAAAGGGCGTGCGATATTTGACCAATGGACTCAAAGTCTACTACGTTCCCTTCTGGGTCATCTATCGCGAGACCACCTTTCCCACCGTCTTCTCTTTTTTCCCCATCTTTCGCAACATTGTCATCCGCGAGCGCATCGAGATTGTCCATGGACACGCCAGTCTGAGTAGCCTTTGCCATGAAGCCATCCTGCATGCGCGCACAATGGGCCTGAGGACAGTTTTCACCGACCACAGTCTATTTGGTTTCGCTGATGCTGCGAGCATTCTAACCAACAAGTTGCTCAAGTTCACCCTGAGCGACGTTGATCATGTCATCTGCGTCAGTCATACTTGGTGCGTCTTTTCCCCTGCCTCACCTTCATCTGCTGACCAACGACAGCAAGGAGAACACCGTGCTTAGAGCATCTCTCGATCCCCTCATGGTCTCTGTTATTCCCAATGCAGTAGTCGCCGAAAACTTTCGTCCTCTTTCGCAAAACTCGCAAGACGCAGTGCAGCCCAAGGCGCCGGGCCCTCGACAACCCATGGACCCGGACGAGATCATCACAGTGATTGTAATACAGCGACTATACTATAACAAGGGCACCGATTTGTTGGTAGCAGCTATCCCTCACATCATTGCGGCAAACCCAAACGTTCGCTTCATAATTGCCGGGAATGGTCCCAAGGCTATCGATCTGGAACAAATGATTGAACGGAACGTGCTGCAGGATAAGGTTATTATGATCGGCCCGGTCCGCCACGAAGAAGTGCGTGATGTCATGGTGCGTGGGCACATCTACCTCTGCCCATCGTTGACCGAGGCATTCGGTACGGTCATTGTAGAAGCTGCATCATGCGGCCTGTATGTTGTGGCCACAAGAGTGGGTGGTATTCCTGAAGTCCTACCCACCCACATGGTGGAATTTGCGGCGCCCGAAGAGGACGAACTTGTTGAAGCGACCGGACGCGCGATTGCCAAACTGCGAGCAGGAAAAGTCAGGACAGAGCTGTTTCACAACCAGGTCAAACAAATGTACTCGTGGACCGACATTGCGCAAAGGACAGAACGAGTATACGATGGTATCAGTGGTGTGATTAGCCATGGCGAGTTTTACCAGGGTGCAGGGGCAGCCGGTGCATGGAGCGCTACTCGAGGCCGAGCCGGTGTGCAAAGCTTTGCCCTCATTGAACGACTTAAGCGATATTATGGCTGCGGAATCTGGGCGGGTAAGCTCTTCTGCATTTGCGTCATTGTCGACTACCTCATCTTCCTGGTGTTGGAAATGTTTGCGCCCAGGTCAAGAATCGACATTTGCAAGGACTGGCCGAAAAAAGCCATCCAGCCAAAACCAGAGGCGCACAAGAGATATGTGCGTAATATAGATGATGACACGGGAGTGCTCAGAAAGAGGAGCTCGAGATATCGCAAGCCGAAAAGAGATGTACTAGAAGATAGATGAGAAAAAGAACAGGAGAACATGGAAGTATTTTTTTTGAAAAATATGACTTTTTTATTGTTCAATATTACGACTACTGTCGCCCACCCTATGAGCATGACAGAGAATCGTCAAGAAGGTAAAATGCTATCTACTCAAAGCCCGTAGGCGGTATATCATACCGGAACGCTGAACCGGTAACTCCTCCCATAAGAAAACGCCGGTAAAATGCTTTGTACAAGAACAAGGAAGAAGGAGAAGAAGACGCAGAAAACCCATTCACACATGACTACTCTCGTGGAGCTTAGGCATAGAACCAGTACTGCGCACTGTACTCGACGGTGAAGCTACCCTCGATACCCTCGCACGTCTTGGGCGCAACACCACCCGCAGTGTGTATCCGGTAGACCTCATTGTAAGCCCAGTGCTTGTCAGTACCAACAGTAGCATTAAGCTTCAACCACGGGACGCTACCGAGACGGTTGGTACCCAAGCTGGCAGTCGTAGGGGCAGGGCTCTTTGCATCAACCGAGCACTCGACACGGCCGTAGTCGGCATCTTGGGTCTGGAGCATGAACAGCGGGACACCGGCGGCGGTGAACTCATGGTGGCCCGAAAGCCGCTTCTCGGCTTCTGGGGAGACGGGGATGGCATAGTTGAGGGCCAGGTTGGTGACTTTGGCGAGGGTGTCGGTGTTGAGGCGGGCGGCGTCGCAGGTTACGTTGAAGAGGGAGGCGACGGCGCCGACGGCTTTGGGGACGTCCGAGGCGGTGGATGAGGCGCAGGTGTAGTTTTGGGTGCCGCGGCCGATGGCGATGTGGCGGAGGGAGGTGCCTTGGGCTGGGGCGGCCAGGGGAGTGGGGGCTGGTTGAATTGTTAGTATGTGTGTGTGGGTTGGAGGTAAGTGGAAGAAGGACGTACCATTAGGAAGCTTGACGTTGGATAGGTCACAGAGGGCGTCGGTCTTCTTCAGCTGCTCGTAGATACCGACGGGCAGGTGCTGTCTTGGGATGAGTGCCGCGATGGAATCGGCATTCTGTGTTGGAGCGGCGAAGAGAGCGGTAGGCGCAAGAGCCAAGACGAGGCTGAGGGAGGTTGAGAAGATCATTTTCGGATTGGAGATGGTAGAGGGCTTAGGTGGATGTAGGTGTTTGTTGTGGTGTTTGTGTGTAACCGTCGATCCAAGGTTGTTGATAAGGCACTGTATATGTATCTCCAAGTGCAGGAAGGTGAAAGTGAAGACGAAAAAAATAGACCCTGACTACACCGATCTTTTCCCAGAATAGATCTTTTAGTGAGGATGTGTGAGCGTGAGTTGGCTTTGTTGCTGACGCTGATGCTCCGCTTCCCTCTTTCGTAAATAGAAAAAAATATTCTCGGAACGGAATCTATCCGTAGTTTAAATCGAGAAAGTGAATTAGATAAAAAAAAATCACAAGATGAGTGAAACGGATGCAAGATTCCCAGAAAAGAAATTCAAGGCAAGAAACAATCCCAGTACAATGGAAGACCGTTATTCGTGGAGCGGGAGAGGGTGTGAGAGAGAGGGGAAGTAGGCGTGTGTGAGTGTGTGTGAGTGAGTAAGAAACAAAACAAAGCCGTTCTCCAACAGTTCCTATATACACAAAACTCGGCTCATAAGAACTCTAGACCAACGCACGCGACACGACAGCTTGCTTTCCAGCGCGTAGTCGACATAGTACCAGGCCCACAAACGGACATGGGCTTCTGAATTGCCCCAAACCCAGTCGTTTACACTTCCCCCCATGTCACGACCGCTCTGTTACCGCCGTGGTACCCACTTTTTGGACCCTTGCCAGCCGCGAAAAAAAAAGACCCCAAATATAGCTGGCATGGGTGCGATTGGACGACAGCGCTCTACAACAGCCATGCATAAGCGGGAGAGGGGCCGTGCGTTTTTTGTCTTTCTTTTCTTGGTTCGCTCGACTACCGAGGCGCCCAGAAGCGAGGAGGAAGAGAAAAAACAGATTGACGTGCTTAGTTCTAGGCTACATGGGGGAGCTGGCGCGAACGCCTGACGGGGGAGGGAGGGGCGGGTTGAGCAGTGAATATCCTAGGAGCGGAGCGTGAAACTGGTGCTGGTCATGATGATGGCGATGATGATTTCATTTGAAGTAAGTCATCTAGCTACACGTGAACATACGCCCTTTACGCTGATGCGATTGCTGACCACAAAGCCATGGCGCTGTTTCTCCAAGATACCTCCCCAAAAAAAGGCTTGCGTGCACACATACAGCTGCATGTTACGCCCTACACACGCAACTTGATCCAACAATACACACACATGCTTCATCTCGCAAAGAAGAAAACAAAGGTATCGTTTACCCACAAAACAAACTATACCAGCGCACATAATGCCCCAGCATCAACACCGCCGGTGGAAATTACACACATACCCAAAATATCCCACTCCATGGCGCAAACCCTCTCTCCAACGGGGGGAGGGGGAAGCACCGCAATCCACCCACACCCGCAGAGCCGCCCGTACTACAACCATACATAGCACCATTCTCCATTTCCCACCTACCCGCCCTCCAAATACGCCATCAAGTATACTTACCCATGTACCCACGCACCAAACCCCTTCCAGAAGGTCCCCAGATCCCCCCCCAAAAAAAAATCGCTAGAACAAGGAAGGAAATGATAATAAATAGCGACATAGAAACAAGTTTTGTGTCCCTTAATATAGCTTCTCGTA